CCCCATCTCCACCCCCAATCATTAGTGCCGCTTGTTCTGTCTTTGACAGAACATATAGAACAATTTTTTAAATAGCGCCATAAACAAAATTGATTTCAAATTTAATTCAAGCACTTTCAAGGACCTATGTTTGTTTTCAAGTACTTTCCAGGCCTTGAATCCATATGTCTGAAATTCAAGCACTTTCAAGATGCGTGGGAACCCTAATTGGACACTTGACTCAAAACCTTAGTTACTGATAAACAAAACCTTGAGACAGCTTCCCTGCTTAACAACTAGCCCCCGACTCCTCTATATTCAGCTGGAACACTCACTGGAACACGTATGTGGATGTAGCCAAGCTCTTCTGATCCAAGATTACCTTCTGTGAACTACAAGTGGCCCTGCCTGGTGAGTTCCCAAAAATGCTGAATTATACAGACTTGATGTCAAAACTTTTAAACGCACTGCACATACTGTACATTCATCTGCACCCACCTTGTGTACAATTTCACATGACGCAAATGATTACAATCACAAAGATTAGACACAGAACTAAAAGAACATATAACACAAAAGAAGTATAATGGTAAAAGGCCATGCAACTGCACATAAGCTTTTGCATGAACTGTGGCCCAATTCAGCAAGCTTACAGATCTTCTTCAAAATGCCTGACATTGCTTTTAGCACCAATTAGTGCTAGTAACTAGTCAGGAACTATTCTTTTTAAAATTTTACAGGCACTTCTAGACTATAATGCCTAAGCAGAAGATGGTTGGGCAGAGTGAAATAGCCTGTTTGGTCTCTTAGAGGCTTTTCTGGCTCTCTATCCCTTGTGACAACCCATAGTACTTCAAACTGGAACGCACACATCCACTTCACCAAGCAAGATTACACAAGTACAATAAAGCAGTAGTTATATGTATTACTATATGCTGCAAGTTCTACAGTTTTGCATAGCTTAATGACTGAAGCTAACCAACAAATTTATTAAGCGTCTTATCTTTGCAAATGTTGGTGACCGGATGTAGGCATGTCCAGCCACTTCAGAAACCTTTCAGAAATGTTGACTTTATTGAAATAACCAGCCACTGTTGTCGGGGAGCAACAAGCAATAGGAGTGAGGACTATGTGAGTGGAGCTCAAACGTCACCCGTCTCGAGTGCAGACACGACAGGACAGAGAAGTTCTGCGTCATTGTCTGTAAAAGCAGATATGGATATAATAAAATAATGTACGTTACAGAAACTGTCAGCAGTCTAAGTGAATTCGATTCATACATTGATGGTTCTTGTTGATTATATTTACATTTACATTTAGAACAAGTAGATAGAATAGAAAAAAAGAATAGGTAACAAAAGTGTTGAGGGTCTTTTTTAAAATAAAAAAAAAGTAAAAGAATAGAAAAATAACAGAGAATGCTAGTGTTAGAAGACCATTTTTATAATAAATAAAAAAGAAATTATTAAATATTAAAACAGTTTCTTCTGCATAATATTTATTATTAGGAACAAGAAAACTTATTATTTGTCAAATTCAAAATTTCCAAGTTTTGGGCAGTTTAAATTGTATATTGTTAGATTGCATGTAACACTGCTGTAGATTACATGACAACCCTCTCCAACAGCAGCTTTTTTAGAGACAAGAATTGTTTTAATTCAGCCACATTGGAGGGTTTTCGAGCATGAAAGGACTGTTTAAGGTCATGCCACAGCATCTCAATCAGATTTAAGTCTGGACTTTACGAGACAGAGCTCGAACCCAACCGAACTTCACCCTCTCCTTTCCACTTACACCAGCGATGGGACTGCAGCGTTAACATTTATATTTAGACACTTACAAACGAGGACAGTAGAAGCAATCAAACCAACAAAACAGCAACAATATGCAAGTGCTGTGACAAGTCTCAGTTAGCTTAACGCAGTACACGTAGCAAGTTTTTTTTAAAGCATATAATAAATAAAAAGAAAACAGATAAAATAGAAAAAGAATAGAGCAAGCTAGTGGTAGTGATTATATGATGCAATGAGCAGTTTAGAACTGAAGAAGTCCATATCACAATAACATTTAGCAGACGCTTTTATCCAAAGCGACTTACAAATGAGGACAATAGAAGCAATCAAAATCAACAAAAGAGCAATGATATATAAGTGCTGAGACAAGTCTCCGTTAGCCTAATGCAGTACACAAGGTTTATATATATTGCAGAGCAGCCCCAGACCATCACACTACCACCACCATGTTTGACATGATGTTCTTTTTATGAAATGCTGTGTTGGTTTTATGCCAGATA